GAAAACAAGTTTTCTAGTGTTTGTCTAAGAGAATATCTTAAGTTATTTAAAACATTGTTTGGTGGTAAATATATAGAACTCTAATCTCAATTCTTTTCTTTTTCTGCTAGAGAACTCTTTAGTCTCACAAGCTTTACTGCTCTCTTGATTATCATCAGCTTTGGTAAACTTTCCTCATTTCTATGTGAACAAAATTGTCTTTGTTTAATACGACGGCGTTTTGAGTGCTAAGGGTAATGTCGTAATAGTATATTCTTTTATCACTTCTGAGAAAATGGAAAATCAATCACCGAAGAAAGACGAAGGAGGAAAGACGAAGAAAGTTCCCGACGTTATGGCCGTCACGGCGTCTGGATTCATCAGGAAATCAGCAATCTCCGTTCGTATAGATTTCTCTTCTGTTCCTGACAAATTCTCATGCTTGAAACTTCCGGTCTCTGCTTCAAAACCTCTTGTGGTACTCTCCGTCGCCTTATCGCCGCCGGCGAGAACTGTTGATTCTCCGCCGGTGGGTTACCGGAAAAACGTTGGGATTTGTCTCGTTAGTCCATGTAGAAAGGTAAATTTCATTTCTTTAACTCTCTCTATCGCTCTATCTGATTCGGAACAATTTGTCTCCTAAGTTTGGATATCTGTTGAATTGGGTTTATGGTTTATGTAATTGGGATTGAAATGGTTTTGGTTTTTGCAGATTTTTACTGCTTCAAAGATTCATGTTCCGGATACATGGCAAATGCCTCAGGTGATTCCTCTATAGCTCTACTGTATAGTCCTTTGATTGCTTTGGAGAGCTTAGTTCTCAATAAAGAACAAGTCTTTGTAGTTCATTGAGAAATTTCCTGTCTTGGTTGGTGAAGAGGTTTCGAAACTACAAAGTTGTGGAACCAAATGCAATGACATTAAAGGTTCTTTGAGACCTCATGTGCTGAAAACCGTAGTGAGGATATTTGAAAGTGAGAAGTAGATTAGGGTGGAGAATCACTAGTTTATGATCTTGTGTGGTATCAATTTATCTGCAAGGTGTTTATCGATTCGGCTTTTACAGGGTGGTGCTGATGAAGGAGAAGATCTGAGAAACGCTGCGTTCAGAGAGCTGAGAGAAGAAACGGGGGTTACCTCGGCAGAATTCATCGCGGAGGCACGCTTTTTGACATCTCTCTCATAGTAAATTGTTAAAAATCTATTTTCAACAAACATATACTTTTCAAGAGGTTTATGTATACAGTGTGAATTACTCTGTGTATATCACCAAACTGAGGTTTGACTATATATTTGAACATCTTTAGATACCAAACTGGCTGACGTATGATTTCCCCCGAGAAGTGAAGGATAAACTGAACCGGAAATGGCGAACAAGTTACAAAGGCCAAGCTCAGAAATGGTAACTCCGCATACTGTCTCATATTCAAAATACAGACACTACCCCATTGTGGATATAAAAAACTGTCTTGATGATTGACTAATGCAGGTTTCTCTTCAAGTTCACGGGCAAGGAGGAAGAGATCAATCTCCTTGGAGACGGGACTGCAAAACCAGAGTTTAAGGTGTGGTCGTGGATGCTACCGGAACAAGTGATTGAACATGTGAGTTTCCTTGGCTTAGTAGTAGTAGTATCGTGCTTGAACTTTGTCGGCCTGATCATTCGTTCTTTTCTCTGTCAGGCTGTATATTTCAAGAGACCCGTATACGAGCATGTCATAAAGCAATTCAATCCTTATTTTGTTGATGAAGAGAAGGATTCGTGTAACGATTGAATGTGCACAAGATTCATCAAATGATTAGGAGGGAAATCAATCAATCAATCATTTATAAAGTGTATTACTCTAGATGAAAAGTGCTTGAATCTGTTCATGTTCAGATATTGCAAAAAAAGTGTATTTATGAAATGCAAACTACTACTATTCCAGTGTTCGAAATTTTACAAATATTTGATATCAGTCTTTGTTAATATATTTTTATTGTATAAAAAACATTCTTATTTCTCACTTGTGATTCTGTTGATCTTTGGTTATAAATCTGCCAAAATACTCATGAATTTATTCACTTTCTGATACAACTCATTAAAAATTGAACATTCCTCTAATAAACTCTAGCTTCACTAGGAAGCCGCCAATTTTTTTTTTTTTAATAACTAAAATTAATCTTAAATTGGGAAAAAAAGAAAAAAATCTAAAACCCTACGAGGGATTTGTCAAAATCTTTAAAACTCAGCAATTAGTTCGCCGTAGTTTCGTCAGCACCGCCGCATATCGGCGTCGTTTAACCGGATTCGGTCTAATTCATCTAAACCGGTCTAATCAAAACAAACTTAACCGCCTAACCGGTAACATAGTTCTCTCGCCGCTCTTCCGACACCACCTCTGTCTCGTTATTAGGTATTTGTGATTTTGGTTCTGTGTGATTGTTATCATTCAGTTTCTGGAGAAAGAAGTTAACTTTTGATATTACGTAGCTGAAAAAGATAACAAATGGTTCGTTCGAAAGCTCCTGCAAAGAAGCAGCAGAAGAAAGGAATTGATTTTAAGGTGCTTTACTAAGTTTTTCTCTTTTTCTTCTAAGTTTCGTTGAATCTTTCAAAGTGTTTGATGAATTGTCTGTGATGGGTTTGTTTTCGTTTTGAGCAGAAAATCAAGAGAAAGCTTGGGAGAAAATTACCTCCACCAAAGAATGCAACTAACACAGAGATTAAATCCAAAGGTATCTCCTTTCTTCTTCAAAATTCAAACTTTTTCTCTTACGTTTTAAGCTCCTTTGAAGCTCTCTCTGCTTATGGTTGAAATTGGTTTTTTTTTTTTTTAATATTTGCAGCAATTACACTTCGTGAGCAAAGTTTGGGAGCAGAGAAGAGTGGCTTCGCTACAAGTAACAGAGGCTTGACCTTAGAGGAGCTTATGAGACAAGTTGCTCATACTAATGCCAAAGTTCGCAAAAGTACTTTTTTTTTTCTTTCTCATGTTTAGTTAGATGTGTCTTGCTTGAGGAAATTTTATGATGCCTGCTACGTTGTTCCCTTGGATCATTTTTGTTTTGTTTTTGGCTGTGTAGAAGCGTTAGAGGGATTCGAAAACCTGTTCAAGAATCATCCAGCAGAGCTGCAGTCACATAAATATGCTATTGTAGAGAAACTTAGGGAGCGCGTTAGTGATGATGATAGTTCAGTGAGAGATACTTTATATTCACTATTTCAGACTAAGATCTTTCCTGCTTGTAAAGAGGTATCAGATTTTATCTTTTTTCTTCCGCTTGTTATTTTCATCGTTGTTCTTACTGGTTCCGCTTACATTGGTTTCTCTTAGTATGTTGTGTTAGTCTCCTTTAATATTATAAGCTGCAAGATGTAGATTTGGAAATTTATTATGGTTTCTAGTCTGTTGCTTTTGTATCCTCTTTTCAAACTTGCTTATACAACTTACAACCCCTTCAATTTTTTTGTTCAAACATGCATATATTGAGATTATCATGTCATTAACCGTTGTATCTAACAGCCGATTCTGTGTAAATATATTCAGGAAAACCAGGGACGTATTGTGTCACTTTTGATGCCATACATGTATATCGCTATGGCTGATTCAGCTATCGATGTTCGTTTGATGGCTTTCAAATTTTTGGACCTTGTTGTGGAGTACTACCCGCCTACCTTTTCCTTGGATGCTGAAAAGGTGTCTACTTCGATTTCCCGGATAATGACTCAGACTATTACATTTCCAACTTTTGCCTTTAGTATTTCTTTGCGTACCGTTGTTCTTGCAAGACGTTCCATGAAATTTCCGGCTGTTACTTCTTGCAGATTCTCGAAAACTACAAGGATATTATTCAGAAAAACCATTTTTATGTGCAAAATAAAAGCAAGCTAAAGGTAGCTCTTTCTGGATTGGCACGTTGCCTGTCGCTGTTGCCATGTGATGAGAGCGACACCGAAGCACAGAAAAAGGTATAATGGTTTTGTTTTGTTTTAGTCGTTATCTTGTTAGAAGAATGAATATATAGAATGGAGCCATATCCTTAAATTTGAGGGAACCATATGGAGATAAATCTACCACTCGGAGAGACTTCAATATTTAAAAGAAAGATGACATTTTACATCAAGATTTCTTTGTCCACTGTCGTTGAAATTACTTCAGAGATTTTTTTTGTATAAGTAAGCTAAATTTTTAACATTCAAGAATGTGCTCTCTTTTCCCTATTCTAAGTGTTTCTTTTAACACATTTTGTGCCCTTCTTTTCTTTTGCAGGGACCTTTAGAGAATGAAACGCTTCTTGCCTATGAGCAAGATGCTGCAAAAGAATGTGTTCGTATGTACCTTCTGTCTTCTTTTATCTTCAATAGGTTATTTATATATGGCTTGAATCATGTTTTCTTGAATCCATGCACTTTGCAACTGTGCAACTAGTCCGTTATCCTTTGCCCTCTTCCTTTCTAGTATAACCTCTAGATTGTCTCTGCAAAGCTTTGGAGAAATAAGTAGATGTTGCTTATTTAAATTTACGTAGTTCATTTTTTATTCTGTTGTCTCTCCCCACAGTTCTTATAAACTTATGGTTTGGATGTAAAAATGCCGCCACTTAATTTTGATCTTCTGGATATTCAATTGAATTGTCTCGTGTGGCATTAAGATATAGTTCCTTTCTCTATGAGTTTGCATGTGCGTAAAGTGGTCTGACCATTTTCCTATGGGTTCTTACAGGCTTTGCCAATGTTTCCGGGATATTGAAGGAGATTGTTGGAGTCTTAATCAATTGTTTCCAAGATTTCATTCCATTGATTCATGCTTCCCGAGTATTTGATCCAGAATCATATAATTGTATGCGCGGTATACTTTGCAGCATAGGTTGTGCAATCAAGTTTTCCATCCGTAGGTACACTCAAAGACAGACTACATGGCTACCTGCATCTGAAGAAGTTACCCTGATGATTTTGGATCAGGATATTGCATCAATGTTATCAAAAAAGTTGCTTGGTTCTTTTCCACTTAATCCAGAGAACAATCCTTCCGGAAAGGTATGCATCGCCTAGCTAGATAGTAGATGATAAGTAATAATAACCTATGTTAAATAGTTCATTTGACATTGTAGAACTTTTGTGGTTATCTTTATGTTATCCAGAGTTCCCTCCCTGCCATTGTTTGTATTCTCCATATGATTATATCTTATGCTTTACTTATTATTATATAAAACCTGCCTAACACTAGTTGATTGTTTGTTGACAGGATGATGAAAAGTACTTTATTATCAACAGTTTATTGACAGAAATCTTTTTGGAAGTAAGTGAATGGAGTCACCTTCCTATTGATCTTTGGAATAGATTTCTGGAATTTATTGAGAATACACTTGTAGGCAAGGTTAGCTCTTATTACTTTACTTCCAACCTGATTAGTTGTTTACGAATATTTAAAATGCCCGTCCCCCTGTCTGCATTGTATCTGATAAACTGCTAATTTCACCGAGATTTGCGAACATCTATTTTTTGCAGATCACCAGGCTAAATAAATCTGATCACGAAAAGGCTTTACTTGCACTCTTGCCCTCTGTTCCAAAACTTATTTTAAGAGTGGACCGTGATCAGAGAGATAAACTTCTGCAGGTTTGTCTAAAGTTCTCAGAGCAGTTTGAGCTAGGCAGGAGAATATAGTTAATCAGTTCATTTGATAGCTAGCAGTAACTTGGTATTACATTAATGTTTTTCAGGCATTTACTATTACCTTCAGCAATTGCAAACCGGAGTCTCCACTTATATTAGCCTGCATTTCAATTGTTAGAGACATGATTATCCCTGTAAGTAAATTTTCTTTTATATGTCCATTCTATATGTTGACCAACTGTTTCAACCCGAGTCTATCTTTCCAGTCACATTGAATTCTACATCTGTTTCTTGTAAAACCTGCAGAATGGAGATATCCTTTATCCTAATGCAAGTGATCTAACAGTAAATTACTACCAGACTACTTGGGTCAACAAACTTCCGTCACTGCTAAATCAGTTAGGTGATAAACATCCGTTAACTACCCAGGTGCTAACACATGACCATACAATTCATTTATCTTCGATTATTCAAGGCAAAAATCCTTAGTGCATCTGTACATTGGCCCCTTTTTGATGAACGAAGATCACTTCCCCTTTTCTCATTTATCTTTTGTTCGGTACCGATTTTGTATATTCTTCAGGCTGTTTTGCAACTTTTGCTCGACCTTGGGCGAGTTGGGTGTCTGAATGCTTCCCCCACATTTGAAGAAGACATCATAAACTTCTTCAGCCCTTATCAGGGAGAAGGTGCAATTCTTTCTGCAAATATAAAAATAAAATCACAGTGTTCTGGTTTTATTAGGATCACTAAACTGAAACTGGACTTTTCGGTATCTTAAATTGTACAGGTGATGTCCCTGGTGGACCTTTTGCAACTCTCCCTAGGGAAGCCCAAGAACTGGCTCTCTGTTTTCTTTACTACTTCTCCATCGACCATTTCAGTTCTTCTTTGCTGAAATCAATAGTTTCCTGCTGTCTATGTGAGTTTCACAATTAAAACAAATTCTTTTTAATCCAACGTTTAAAGTGTCTTTTGTTGATGATGAAAATGACAATAAAAGGTAATTGACCAAACTCAACATATATCGCAGATCCACAACTTGAACCAGTTGTATTGTATCGGACAGTGGAAATTCTTCACACTGCCTATAGAGCTGGATATATCCAGATTACAGATCATTTCAGCTTCATCATCAGCTTAATTGCACGTTTCAAAGTTGCCCCAGGTACTGTCCAGAATATGCAAGCTTTTGTTCTTTTGGGCTGTGAGATGTTAAAAGAAAAAATACTTTTGAATTTTTTTTTGTCAAAATAGTTTGGAAATTTAATGACATGAGAGCTCGGGTTTGTGTTAGTTTGAGAGATGATCATGATTTAATTTTTGGTGATAGCTTTACCTATGGTTTTATGTTCATGCAGAGAAAGGGCAGTTAGTGATAAACTGTAATGAGCCGGAAGCATATCGTGGCACATTTAAAGCACTTACAAAGCTCGTGTGTAAGTGTTTGTCGGAAATGGGTGATGGCTCTATTGTCCTTCAGATTCTAGAGAAAGTTTTACTCGAACAGATAGTAAGTTTGTTTTTAATAATACATATATATCTAAAAGCATCGTAACATTCTCATATAATAACACCGCAATTATCTAATGAGAGGTTCTTGTTGGTGTAGGCTTTGAAGCCTGCGTTGGACTATGGGTGTGCCATACTCAGGATGATAGTCGAGTTGGACTCTAAACCTACCAGACTTTCTGAAAGCAGTGTAAACACTCTAAGTGAATTCTTACCGGGATATCTGATCGACATAGTCAATGTGAGTACTTCCATTTTAAAAAAAATTTTGAGTCCTAAATGTTCATTTGATCTTGGGATTAAACATCACTCTACCCTCTTCTTGCAGTGTATACCAGAAGATAAGGAGAACTCTTACCTTTACAAGCAAACATATCTCTACTATTTAGTACCTTGCTTTTACTTGTTCGACCGGAGCCCCAAACTCACGGAACAGGTTCTGAAGCGAATGCGATTGATGGTTAGTGAAAACACAGAAGTGCTGGCAGCGGTCCAAGACAGGGAGATCGGTCAAAACTCATTGAACTTAATACACTGCATTGTCTCTGTGATCCTGCTGATGCACAACAATGTTGATGTTAAGAAGATAATATTGTCATCCAAGTCAGAGATAGATTTGATCCTGCAGGACGTTATCTCGTTACAGGTACAATTTCTAGTCTCTTTATCCTTATGCAAACTGCAAAACCATTTGATGAGTGACTGATGAGTTTTGCCTTCTTAATTGCGCAGTCCTCAGAAAGCACGAGCTTGACAGTAGAAGGAAAGTATATGATGAAAATGGAGGCAAAACGACTTGAGATTGCATCCAATAGCTTACTTACATAGTGAAGTTTTCAAGCTAGTACACATTTTGATAAGTTGTTTCACAACTGTAACATAAAATGATCTGTGTGCTTTCTTCACAAAGAATGCTACAAGATAATGTATTCGCTTTTGCTTGTTTGGGAAAGCAGCAATTTTGATGGCACTTATGTAGAACAACATCATTATGGGAATGAAAAACCTTAATCTCCAAGACTGTTTTACATTTCTGAGATATTGTGTTGGTTTTGCTCTTGCATGATCTGCAAAAACGTCTGTAAAGACTACAGATAATACTCGTAAAGAAAGGGTTCTTATACATATAAACCAAACAAACTACAATGCAGCATAAACTAAAAGTCTCAAATTGCATACTAGTACCGATATAACTCAACATTTTGCATCATCTCATAGTCATATAACATGTTGGATTACCAATCTTTTTCATCTACTTACACGAAGAAGATGCATTGTCATTGAGTATCAACTTTGCGGTCTCGGCCACGAGTCCAGTCCTCTGCAAACACAACTCCTCTTCTAACGCCTTGAGCTTCTTCAATTTCTCCTCCATTTCTCTCTTCTTTGGTCCATCTGAAACCATTTCCCAACCCGCACTCACGGTTGATTCATCCAAACCTAAAGCACTCGCATTCTCCGCCTTGAAGAAAGATGCTACCTCTCCTCCTCCTCTACTAGTGCTAACAACATTTTGCTTTGGCTTTTCCACTTCTTCTTTCTTGGACGATTTCGATAACTTGACAATCTCTTTGGAGTTTCCTCCAAGCTTCTTCCTCGATTTAGAAGCCAAAACACCTTCATTTCCCCAAATTTTTCTCGACAATTCGAAAGCTTTCTGATCAAGATCTTTCGAAAACACAATCTCGTCTTCGCTCTTTCCCTTTTTAAGCGAATTCTTGATCGTATTCCCAAACTTTTTCTTCAACCTCCTAATCTTGGTTACTAATTGGCTTTTATTAGCATCGAAATTGATCAGTTTCTTGACATAATCACAAAAAGCATCCATTTTCTCATAAGGGTCTCCTCTGGTAGAAGTGAAATCAAGAAGACCTTGAAGCAACGCAATTTCGTCGTTCTCGCTGAATAATCTCTGAAACATTAGCTGCTTCTTCGTTTCATCACCAGAAATCTTCTTAA